TATTAGTTCATGAACCAACTTAGAGGACCATGTAATTCTTTCACTTTCTTCGTAAAAAAACTCTGGGGGCACACTTAAAATTATATCAAAATTTTACAGGTATTATAGGAATCTAAGGGGGATAGTGGGGCCCGTGCCCCCACCTTAAATCCGCCATTGGCTTCATGTACAAGTGAAGCTCAGGTGGTTATTATTTTTGGGTTGTTTCTGGCATAATTAAATTAGGAAACATGATAGAGTATGCTCTTAAATAGCCATATGCAATAAGATCAAGTAAGTTCTCAGTCCTATACTGAACTGCTTCTGTTAACTAATGAAAGTTTAAGTTTCTTGCTGTCTGGAGTTCAAATAAATGTTAAATGGAAGGGGTAGTAAAAAAGATGGCTCATGTTAACTAATAAAAAGATTTGTGTAGTAGAGTTGCTTGATTTACCTGCATCCTAATCCTTTAAGTGTTGCACTTGTCTGGCTGTGTGTATGGAACCTTCTTGTTTTTTAAAATAAAGATCTTGTACATCCTAATGGTAGACATTGTAACATCTAAAATTGAGCATAAGCTGAAGATCGATGCAACAGAATTGTAGCTTTACATTCAATGAATATGTGCCTTCTTGCTGAATTAGTGCTTTGAGGAAATTCCTGTATACTCCTGATATCATATTGCATTGAGTTGTACAGAGTTTTGTTATGTCAATAGTGAAGTTAAAGTGGTTTCTTAGCACTGAGTATGGATCGAAAAAGCCATAAGTTCAACGATGTAAATGGTTTCCACCAGATTAGAAGAAACTAATAGCATTATCTTAAGCTCTACACCAGGCAGTAAGATTTCCAACTTGGCCTTTTGCACAAGACATTTGTAGATGGCCATTGTATGTGGCACTTGTGCAATTGTTGGTATTAAGTTAGACAGGCAGACAAATTGGAACTCTCAATCTTGCAGCTTAGTTATTGAACACGCTTGGAAAGTGCTATTACATGCTGTTTTGAAGCCTCATGTTGTTCTTTTTTCATTCTGCAGTTATTGCATGATTTATAATTTGTTTGGCGTTGAAATGTTCAAGGCTTTTATCATCTTATCTGAGTTTTGCCCTATATCTTTGCTGGATTATCATTTGGATTTCTAACTCTCACTCCCTTCATGAACCAAAAATCTTTTGGATTCTCACTTTGCCCTTTCTTTTGCTGCTTCTTCAAATCATAAATAGGTTATGGCAATGGAGTTGGGGGAGCACAAAATAAGAGTGAACTCAATCTCACCTGGACTTTTCAAATCTGAGATAACTGAGGGGCTCATGCAAAAAGACTGGTTGAAGAACGTTGCTCTTAAAACTGTCCCTTTGAGAACATATGGCACCGCAGATCCAGCATTGACATCAGTTATTCGATATTTAATCCATGACTCTTCTGAGTACGTATCAGGCAATAATTTTATTGTAGATGCTGGAACAACCTTACCTGGTCTTCCAATTTTCTCCTCTCTGTGAATGTCTCTCTATATACTTGAAATCAGTTACCTGTAGCATGGAACTTTATTTTGTTGAAGAAATTGGTTTTAAAAAAAAAAAAAAAAGGGTTTGATTGGTTTTAGTTTCCCAGTTTTTACTTTTAAAAGATTCTGAGGGCAGGAAACTCTGCATATCTTTTCCCTAGAATTATTCGTTCTCCATTTTGTTTGGTTCTTGTTTCATCAGTAAGTCATCAACCACTTCGTTTGTCATCAACATAGGCTGTCAGGTTCTTTTTCTGTATGTGATTTCTTCTCCTACCAAAATGAACATGAGGACTGACAGGTGGAAAGAACATTTGTTTGATATTCAAGATTTATACAAGAAATTTTTAAGCCTGTAGTGATGTAGATGGCTCTCAAATCTTACATTAGCACCTCCGACAAATTGTAGTTGGACTTGGGAGTTAAAATGAGGCTGGCTAGGAGTCCAATCTTCTGAAATGCTGTCGTTCGTTGCCCGAGGCAGACTAGAAGATGCAGTCGACGAGTATGCATTTGATCTCAGAAATTTCCAATCCTTCAATTGCAATTGCCACTTCGAACAAAAAGTCCAACTAAACAATTTGTGAAGAGTATAAACTTAATAACTTTAAGGAAACAAAATTACAATTCATTTTTTTTTATGGTACAAGGGGCAGTTGGAGGACTAGGGATAATGGGGCTAGCCGTAGTAATGAAGAAATTCCTTAAGAACAACAAATTTTTCAATAAAAACCTAGGATTAATCTTATTCACACTGTCAGTGTATACACTATTATGATTAGATATATGCCATATGTGCAAAATTTGAATTTAAAATTCAAAATTTGTTCATGTGTCATCCATCCAATCGTAATAGTGTATACATTGACAATATATATAAAATTTACTCAAAAACCTAATGTTAAAGTAGAGACGAGCATATTTGGGGCATACAGATCTAGATTGAATTCAAATCGAAATTGAAATGAGTTTGGTAATTTGAATCCAGCAATTTGGCAATTTAGTTGTTGCATACTAAGCACCGTGTTTGTTGAATTTAAAACGGACACCTAATTGGTGGGAAATTTTACCAATATGGCTTACACCAATATCGAATACAAATGCAAATTTCAAGATATAAATTGTAGCATATATTACTAACTACTATCATTTCATTATTTCTACACAATTAATATCATAAATTTTAACTAGTAAGTAGTAACCAATAAAGCATAGATATTTAGGTAATAATCGTATAATAAATACTGATTCGTACCATAATAAATTGAGCTTGCCCGTATCTTATTTAAGGATTAAAAGGACTATCAATGTGCAAGTTAAGGAGAAAGAAGGACTAATGTGAAAATTTTTAGTAAATCAAAATTAAAATATTGAGAAAAATAAGCGATATTTAGAATTTAGGGTCCCAATGAAAATGAACTCAACAGGAGATCTTTTAAATTTCTTTTTTTTTTTGGTGAACAACAATACGTGTTGTTATTGTATCAATTTCTAATTGAATTTGAGAGTGAAATAGGTATAATATTTTGGAGCTTAGACAACCAATAGCAGCGATTTTTTTTTTTTTATCGAGATTCGAAAGCACAGATTTTGTACTAATGCACACCCTATATTAAAGGCAATGTTTTCAGAGCCGGCCGGCCGCGAACCGGCCATGCTACCGGTCCGGTCCAATGTCAAACCCGGATGGTAATGGAAACCCGCTACGAACCGCGCGAACCGGACGAACCGCTAAAACCCGTATGAACCGCGAACCGGCGGTTCTCAAATTTTCAAACTATATAACCTCAAATTCAAAATAATAGCAAGAATGGAGACTGCCAGATTCGAACTCGGGTCTCTGAGCCAACAATAAGGTACGTTGCCACTACACCATAACCCAAGGACGAGGTATTGTTGTGTAGAATTATACTTAACTAAAAAATAAAATCAGATTAAATAAAAAAACCCTAGCATTAAGAAAGTGCAGACGGTACATTTCATTTCAATTTCACTTCCTCCGTTTCTCACTCTCGGCTTCTCCAGTTCGCATCTTGATTTTTTTTTTAAAAATTTTTCTTCATATTTCAAATACTCATATTTCTTTTTTTTATTTTTCTTACAAAATCTCATCCTCTCATGGCTCTTTCTTTTTAATTTTCAACTCTCTCTCTCTCTCTCGCTATCCTCTTTTCTTTTGTCACTCCCTTTTTAATCAAACCTCTTTATTTTTAATTTATTAATGTTTTCTTCCATCTTTTAATTTTGTTTTTGTCCATTAAATTGAAAAAAGTTAAAAAAGAATTATTTTTCTTTAACCCAAATTATTTAATGTCACAACCACTCACTTTTATCTCATTTTTTGTTTCTTATTAAGTTTACATTTCTATTTTCGATTCTCTTGACTTCCTTCAAACTCCAAATTTTCTTTTTAAAATTGCAATCTCTAAATCCCAAAGCGTAAATTAAAATTTAAGTTCACAATGTCTAAATTCTCATAGACGTGAATTTTGCATAATTTCAAAATATTGTGATATTTTTGGGTTGGATTTAGATATAATTGAAATTGAAATGAAATTTATTTATTTTAACTTATAATTTAAAATTTTTATTTTTAAAAATCCAAGTTATTAAAAAATAGTAAACTTTTCATCATATAAAGTATTAAATTAGTCCATTACATGTCTTATTTTGTGCATATATATATTTATATAAATTATTTTTTAAAAAATTTATTGAACTGGGGTTGAACCGGTCCGACCGGTTGAACCTCGACCCTTTCACTTCACCGGTTCAATTAACGGTCCGGTTTTAAAAACATTGATTAAAGGATGAATTGTGTATTTTAACCTCTATATTTTAAGGATTAATTTTATATATACTGACAGTATATACACTTTCATCACCAAATGCATGACAACTAATTTCAATTTAATTTGAAATCTAAATTTTTATGTGTCGTACTCATGCATCCAATGATGATAATATATACACTACTATTGTATATAATATCAACTCATATTTTAATCTCTAAGTCACCAGAAATGTAAAATAACAACATAGTAACACCATCATATTTTAGAATTGTATATTTTAACCCCTATATTTTAAGCCCTAAGTCATGAGGAATGTAAAATAACAACATGGTCAAACCATCATATCTCAAACAATCAAATGTTCTCAAAACAAGACCAAAAAATAAAAGAAAAAAAGAAATCCCCAGAATGCAATTGGTTTAGAAAATACATTTGCTATTAACCTCTTAAATGCTTCAAAAAACAAACACCCTTCCAAAATAGATTTTCTTTCGGGTCATGACTGCAGCAATTGCCTTGTGGCTAACGGGACCAAAATTGAAAAGATTCAGTAAGAAGTATGGGCCCTAAGAAGGTTACGACTTACTAACTTGTTAAAAGCCCATTAACCGGTAGTCTTAAATCTTAATACTCTTTAAGCCTATAATTAATGCGCCTCAACTTCTAATCCCACATCGCTTTTTCAGAAACTAATTAGCCAGTTTATATAAGAACATCCTCTTCCTCATAAGCGTCCCTTCGGGGACATCCGATAAAATTGGAACGATACAGAGAAGATTAGCATGGCCCCTGCGCAAGGATGACACGCACAAATCGAGAAATGGTCCAAATTTTTTTTTCCCGCTACCTGTCCTTCCCCTTCTCTTCGACCCTGAAATTACCAAATCATCCCTCTGATTTATCCAATTCTTCGTTTTCGGCAAGAGTAGTCCACTGCTAGTCTTTCTCAATTCAGTTTCAGGTTTGTCTTAAACAGTTTTGTTATTAATTAATCAGGATTTTATCTTTTTTTCTTTATCTTTATGTGGGTTTTCTTTTATATAAATAATTGGAGGAGGGTTTTTCTTAGAGGGGATTGTTTATTCATGTAATTCACTATTGATTGAACTCTCTTATTTTTTCCCCCTTTTTCCTTTTTTGGGATGAGGTGCCACAAAATTGTTTATGGATTTTCAATCAACAAAACAGAAAAAGCTGTAAACTTTCTTATTTTGTTGTTTGTGTAAGTACTCTGTAAATTTTTCATAAATTTTCAATTTATGCTTGATTTATCAGAATCTTCTGTTGCAAACGGTTGATAGATTTTTATTTTATTTTTCTTGGGTGCAGTTAGTTTTATATCAAATGTTAGCCGCAAAAGCCATTGATGGTAAACTTTCAAGGTGGAGGTCTTTTGTGCCCATTAAATATTTTGCTTCATTGCCTGCTTTTGAGAGGCCAATTTCAGCTCATGAAGATTTGACCAGTGGTGCCAATGCACTTGGGGGTTCCTTTTCCGATACTTTCTGCGGCAGAAATGATGCTATGGAAGCTGAAAATTTCAAAAATCAAGGAGTAAATGATTTCACTAGCCTAGTGAAGTATAGAAAGTAAGTGTATGCTCCTGGTATGCTTTCTTCAAGATTTTGTTATTGGTTTTCCTGTTTTTTGCTGATCTTAATGCACTTGGGATATGATTAATGGTTATTCTTGAAGTTTTTGACAGTCTTGAGAGATTATTATCGTTGGTGATGATATCAGACGGTATTCTATTGTTTTTTTTTCCCAATTGCATTCTGTGTTTATAATTTTTTTATCTTTTCAACAATTCCAGGGATGTTTTAATTGCTGGTAATGAATTCTTCAGAGATTGGAGCAGACTAAAGAATTGAGAGTTGCCAGGGCAAGATTAGTAAAGGTGTATACTTGAGAGACAACTGTATACTTTTGCTTGAAGCTTACCCGAGTGAAATCAAATGTTAAAAGGATATAACTAAAGTTTTACTTGGTTAAGAGGATATTGGACAATTGTTTTGTTCTTTTTGGGGTAAGCCCCCTAACTGGCTTCCTTAGAGAAAACAGTTCATGGATTTATTTCACGAAATTTACTGGTATCTCCAATTGCTATTAGAGTAGACAATAGAGAGGTGCTTTTGGGTTGACCAGTCTAAAATTATATAATGAGAGGAGTGCAACTTGGACTGTGTCAAGAACAGTGTACCAATTTTAAAAAGTTATTTGCAGTTGCTTTTATTGCTTTTATTACGTCCTAATGTGTCAGATATAGAGACGATGGTTCAGAATTTTATGGTTCTCATTTTTTGGAAACCTGTGATTTTGAGTCTAGCGTTTGAAGTTTGTTTGGTTTTAGGCAACATGATTGGAATAGGTGATCATTAAAAGTGCACTGTTTGGAGAATCTATTCAATCTTTTCCATGACAATTTGAGCTGTTTTTGTGCTAGGATTTGTTCAGTATGCCACAAAATAGCAATTCATGTTTTTATCTATAATTGAACTGCTGGACAACTTAAAGTATCGCTATTAGGATATACTAGTTTTTGCTATACTAGTTTGTAGCTTCATTTTGATTGGCTTGTTTCCCAACCTATACAAGTTAGAGTACAACATATCCTTGTTTTGAGGGTGGGCTTATCAAGTGGTTGTATTTATAATGTTCAACAATTACAGTATCTTGTTGCATCTTAATATTAATAGACAAAATTATTTTTCCAACTTTAAATTTAAGATTTTTTTTTGGGTGTATTACACAAGTGAAAGTGACAGTGGAAAGTTTTCTGCAGTGATGAGAATATAATAAGGCCATCTCCATGGAATGGACAAAAGGCAGTTGCATCATCATATTGTTTCCCCAATCGAGTACATGACATGTTATACATGTCATTACGTAATTTTAGTTCTCAGAGCAGTGCTACGTCCGTTACGGATGTGAAAACCAAGGTCAGCGATTATTTATCATCTGTTTACTGCATGCCACAGTTTGAATATACTCTGCAAAATCCTTTACATTCCTCAATATTGCAGCAATCTCAGTATTGCTTTTGTGCATTTTGTTGCTGGGGCTATGTCATTTAGTTACACCACAATCTTGCAGTTCTTGGGATCAATTCCTAAATTTGTGAAGGTTGTGGAAGTTGGGCCTAGGGATGGACTGCAAAATGAGAAGGCAATTGTACCTACTGCTGTGAAGGTTGATCTAATAAAAATGCTAGTTTCTTCAGGATTATCTGTCGTTGAGGCTACTAGTTTTGTCTCACCAAAATGGGTGCCACAGGTAACTTACAATTTTTTGATTGCATATTACTGTTAAACAGTTGATCTAGTTGTACATTATTTTTGTTCTCTAATACCCTGCCTCTGGTAAGAGCATCATCTCTGTTTAACAACTTTTGACTCTGGTTGACTTGGTCTAGACATCCTGTAAAATTGTTCAATGGAAGTGTTCCACCTGAATGAGGTGACAAACTCTTGCAATGATCAACTGGTCATAGTTTTTCAGAAGTGTGGATGCTAACTCTGATATCAGCTTTCGTTGATAACTTCAGTATCAGTGGATCTGATTGCAGATGCAGTTGGAATCTTATATGTATTTTAAGCATGCGAGTCCCTATTATTTGTTTATTTTTCATTGTATGAGTTACTTGTAGTAGTCTTTGAGAATTCCACTTTGGTTCTTTCATGGAATATTGTAGTTTGTTACCTGATGTTTAGATATACTGAACCAAATTGTAGCTTGCAGATGCGAAGGATGTACTTGAGGCAATTCAAAGTGTTGAAGGTGCAAAGTTTCCTGTTTTGACACCAAATCTCAAAGTAGGTTCTCTTTCTTTTGATTTGTTAAACTTACCAAGTACAATTTTATACTTGATGGAAGTCCTGCTTGCAAATCTTAACTGAACCTTATTCTAGGGCTTTGCAGCAGCTGTTGCTGCTGGGGCCAAGGAAGTGGCTATCTTCGCTGCAGCTTCTGAATCTTTTTCCATGTCAAACCTAAATTGTAGCATCAAAGATAGTCTGAATCGATACCATGATGTTGCCTGTGCAGCCAGAAATAGCTCTATACCTGTCCGCGGGTATCCCATCTGATCCTCTATACTCTCCTAATTCAGAAGAATTCAACTGCTTAACATATGCTTGAAGGATGTTAGTCTTGTTTCAAAACAGTATTTGGAATTTTATTTGAATAGGAAAGAGAGTGATGCATCTGGAAGCTGGTTGTTATTGAGCGGCATGAGGGTATATACAGTTATACAAAAATGTACTGTACTACGTGTTTTTTAGTGCAAATTGGTTGCAGCATATTGATTGGCATCTATAATATATCTGAAAATACCTGAATCTTTCTTCGTGTTGTCCTCCGATGACATCAATTCAACAAGATTTGGATAAAAAATAATGCTGTACTAAAAATCTGGTGAATGAGTATAGCATTTACAACCAGGTGTAGTTGCCCATGTTATGTCTAAAAATACTTCTTCTCGTTCTGTTTCTTTCAAAGTCTCTTGTTTAGATACCTGCATTATGTATGCAACAATATGTGCATATGAAAATTTGCTTGTAAAAATATGCCTGTGGATGTATATTTTGATGCATTCTTTGCAAGCTCCTGTTGCAAACTGATCATTACTCGACTCTCTTCAATTGGCAACGTTGTTCCTTGGTTGTCCTTGTTAATTACTCCATTAGTTATTTTTTGGCATTTCAATACTTTGAGAAAGCAACATTCTACTTTGATTTTTTATCGTGATTTGTTCATTAATTTCCTTAGGTACATATCATGTGTTGTTGGCTGTCCAGTGGAAGGAGCAGTATCTCCCTCGCAAGTAGTTTATGTGGCAAAAGCACTTCTTGCCATGGGGTGCACTGAAATCTCCCTTGGTGACACAATTGGTGTTGGCACTCCTGGTAATGCTTAAAACTCATGTTTGCTCTCTCTCAAACATACACACACACAACATCTATATATGTATGTGTGTGTGAATTTGTCTCTCTAATACTTGTGCAACTACCCTTCTGTAGAAGTTACATGAATACGCAACAATCTTTGTCTAGTGATAGAAGAAAATTAAGATTTATCTTCAATATTTGCCAATTAGGGAGATTTTCTTGTTGGGAATGTTGGATGAGTCTCCTTCCTCTCTGTCATTGCAAGATTTCCTGCCATATGAAACTTGGTCAATCAATTTCACCACAAAAAAAAAAAAGAGAGAGAGAGACCGATAAAAGGACTTTGGCAGTTTTATGTACCTTGATAATTGGGGAAAAGGCGTGTGGGTGTAGAAGATAGATTTTTCTTATTTTGGAAACTAGAACTAGGGGTTAGAATGTACTGCCATCAGCTCTTTCATGGTTTGCCTGATAAGCACATATGTGTTGGCTTACAGAGCTTAGCATTGCTAATCATTTAAAAACTGCAAAATATTGTTTTTACATGTTCTCATCCTTTTACACTTTTCATCATGGCACCAGCATTAAAATTGTCGTACCTTTTAGCAGTGTAAATTCATATTACCTCGGACATTCATCAGTAGCCAGCTTGTGTAGCTATACCTACCTTGAATCTTCTAATGCCTCTTCTGAAACTCTTTGTGCATTTTGACAGTCTCCCTGTCTTGTTCATATATTGGAAGACAGTCTTTGTAGCAGGAAGGGCATTCTTTAAGAAGAAAGACTTTGGTACTTGTTAATATAATGGAAGAAAGATTTTGTAGAGCAGGGGAGGACACTAGATATTAGTACTATAACATTGGGTGGATGCCTAAGACTGATCTTTATAGTTATAGTATAAGAAGGAAACTGATGGCGGGAAGATATATTCTTTCTCCTTCATTTTTTATTCTTTCTATTTTCTTATTTTTTATGAGTTGGATGTCTGGGTGGAATTAAAATATATAAGCTGTTCTTCAACTGCACTCGCCAATCATATATTTTTTGTGTGAAACTTTCCTGTTTTCAATTGAACATGATTATGTGCATTGAACAAGTCATTGCTCACGCCATTTCCATATCCTGAGGAGAAAAATCCCTCGGTCAAACAAACCTGAGGATATCACTTTTTGTCTGTTCAGTGTTAAATTTTTGTGGTTATGACAACTTGTAGTCTTATTTCGGTATGTTCCATTCCTTGCTCCCCTCAATGGCAGGTACCGTTGTTCCGATGCTTGAAGCTGTCCTTGAAGTTGTACCTGTAGAGAAGCTTGCTGTCCATTTTCATGACACCTACGGGCAAGCTCTTTCAAACATTCTCGTGTCATTGCAAGTATGCTGTTATCTTTTATTTTGATCTTTGCATTGAAAAATCATGTTTTTATTCCAGTTTTCTGCAAGAGTTACGCTGCTTATCTGAAATCGAATATTATGTTTAGTTTGAGTATTTGAATATGTGTCCACTTGTTAGATGGGCATTTTGTACTATAAACTAATTATTCAAATTAATATTTTACTCTTGAAAAATTGGGCTAACATATTTTCACGACATTCTTAAATTTCAGCAAACCTCTAAAGCATTCTCTTTAAGCTGTTATATGTCACTTTATCTCCCTGGTAATACTGATGCCCCAATCATACCATTCAAGGTGGAGTACTATTTTGCATGTTCATGTATTTTTTATTCTAGGCCATGAACTATGTGAGCGACTGGGTCAGTTAAGAGTTTCCAGTTAGTTGATTAATCATAGTGGCACAACTATATTTAGTGTGACACAAGTTATTTCAGTAAGGATCATTATACTTTTTGTTTGATCATTTTGCTACTCCCCTGGTTGTTATGTGTTTTTCTTTACCATTCTGTTTTAATCATTTGGTTCTGGTGAAATTTTGTCAATGAATAGTCTTACGTTGATGATATTCATTGGACAGACGGGATATATATATTTTTTTATATAATTTAACTTGATTCCTTGTTATTTATCATATTATTTGTCTTCTGTGTAAGTGCTTCCATATGTTGTTGTACCATGATTTAGCTAATGAGCTTTCTCAAACTTGAAGTTAATTCTGAGAAAGAACTAGTTATCTGTCCTTTTTGCTTCTAGGCATAAATCATTTTCCTGAATTTTCTTTTTGCAGTTGAGTTAGGCAGCCTTTTTTAATTACACTACAACACTGTAGAAAATGGCTAAAGCTGCTCTCTACACATGATCTTCAGATATTTTGGAGCTGCAAGAATTACATGGTACTAAAATATTGATGCAGCTTGCCGCCAGATAGATGACTAAATAAATTATCAGTCCTCCTTGTTGGTTATTTGTGTGAACTTCCAATTTACCTCAAACTTGGCAGTAGGTGTAATATCTCTTTTGCCTATATGCCAAAGAATAAAAATATTTCTGCAAAGCAGCATGTTCTTGTCTAACAGTAGTTTCTTTACAGATGGGGATCCGTACGGTTGATTCTGCTGTATCTGGTCTTGGTGGTTGTCCATATGCTAAAGGTGCTTCTGGAAATGTTGCTACTGAGGATGTCGTCTATATGCTCAATGGACTAGGAGTGAAGACAAATGTTGATCTTCAGAAGGTCATTTTAGCTGGGGATTTTATCTGCAAGCATTTGGGTCGATCTCCTGGTTCTAAGGTTGCTAAAGCACTGAGCAGAGTTCCAGAAAATGCCTCAAAGCTGTAAGGTGCTTCTGACACCTCAAAAGTGTAGTTTGAACTTGTGCATCCAAGCTGAAAGAGGATATCTCTAGCAACTTATATCCTGCAGATGCTACAATCCAAATTCAGCAGGATGTTCTGCATTCTCATCCGTCTTGTGCAGTCCTCACTTGCAATGATCTGTGAGCCATACACGAAAATCTCAGGGTATATATTCACCATCATTTGTGGAAACTAATTTCGAAGAAACATTTTAAAATCTGTCTACCTTCTGTTTTCTTGGTATGCAACGGCGGATTCGCTCTTGCAAATTGATTCTATGTGCAAAAGTCCTGTGATATTGATGACATTGAAGTTTTTCTTTGCAATTTATGTCACTCATATCAGGTACATCTGTAAGTTCTGGATATGTTCTTTAGAGTTGAAAACTACTATTGATTATCAGTACAAATAAGGGAGTCAGCTTTGTTCTTCATGCAATAAAATTGAACTCAATTGATTACATTATTAGCACTGCAAGATGATCAATTACTCCAGTGTATCTGCATGTTTTTCCTTTGGCGTTTTTTTACTCTTTCTGCATTAATGCTTGGTCATATGAACATAATCTAGTCATCCAGACGCTGCTTTCATTTCATGGTATTTGTCTTTCATAGCTATAAGATTCTGGAGATTGATTGTTTGCTTGTGGATCTTTTGAAAAAGCTTCCTGTAAGTTGGGAAACACATTTTTGAAAATCTCAAAATTTTCCACCATATCAAATATATTTCTCTGCGGCGCTGGTAGCGTGAAGATAGCCATTGATGGCTCGTACTAAAAATAGTACTTTCGCGCGTAATGATAGAAAAATTAGCAAGCTTCCACAAAAAAAAAAAAAAAAAACCCGTTTTGAGCAAATTTACTATTTTGATGCATTGATCACTTCTGCCATTGCTGTCAAACTCCACACAAATCTCGCATCTAGCATTTGCCAAATATAAAAAGACAGTAAGAGTTTTTACAAGGATTTTTTTTTTCGTGTGGCGAGTACATTATTTAAATTTTTATTAGAATATTATTGTAACGTTTATTGTAATTTGATGTATATGAGATCAAAATGTTATTAAAAATTAAAAGAATTATTGGAAAGCATATTTATAATGCACGAATTTTTTTTGAAATAGATCAATCCAAACAGAAAAATATATACCATTGATATTTTTTCTCGAGATACATTTTGTCTGGTTGTAGTGTATTCTTCAAGATGTGATTCTACACTTCTAACATCATGAATAAATTAGGAAATTAAAGAAAAATACTATAGGTTCACCCTACTAAGAAAATATTTTGCAATTCCTATTGTGCCAGGTAAAATAAATAAATAAAAAGAATAAGAGTCAGCAAGTAACATGGGCTATTCTAAAGCCACAACTACTCGTCCCACATCGACTAAACATGAACTAGACAGCAACTTTATATATATGTGCCTTGAATGTGCTGAGCGGCCCTTCGGGGACATCCGATAAAATTGGAACGATACAGAGAAGATTAGCATGGCCCCTGCGCAAGGATGACACGCACAAATCGAGAAATGGTCCAAATTTTTTTGGCATCTTTACCCAGCCCCACTGATTCCACTTCCCGATTCAGGTTTTTGTGCTTTGAGTTTCTGCATCGATTTTTTTATGTGGGTGTTTGAAATAATTGGTTTTGTCCTGTTATCAGCTTCATCTTCTTAACCTGGGTTTTCCCTTTATTTAATCCAATAGCTTACTGATTTTTCTGATATGGCATTGCTATGAAAGATGCTTTTTTTAAAAGTTGTTTTGTTGGATTAGTTATAGGTTGATAAATAGATTAATTCTGGTTTAATTAATTTGGACATTACAGAGGAAGTAACCATGCTAGCTCCGTAAATCCTCAGAGGTGGTGTTTTTATTTTATTTTTTTGGTATTTTGTTCATGTTTTTGTTGGCTGTTTGTTATTGATGATTTTATTGGAAGTGAACTTTGATCGATGGTTCTTGTTTGTCTTTACTGATCAGGAGAGACTATTGTCTTTACTGATGATTTAGATGATTATTTAGACTGCCTCCAATGGTGTATTTATTTGAATATTTTCTTTTCTGTTTGTTATTTTGAAGATTCAGTGTTTGAAAATATGGTATCGATTTGCGTAGCTAACGGAGCCTTCAAAATAATTGATTCATTCAACTCCTCAAGAGTTGATTTCATGAAATAGCAGGATAAATTGCAGTTCTCTGCATCAGCCGTCCTTTCTGTATGCTTGCTATCAAAGTGGATAACATTAATTAACATTCTTGCTTCAGAACTTAAAGATTAGAAAATCATTGTATCTGTTCTGAAGGTTGGCTTATTAAGCAGCTCTTCTACATGATGTTCAGAAATGACAGTCTCTTGTGGCTGTTTGGTCTGATGATTTAGCAATTTATGGCTTTTCTTCCTTGCTGTTACTTTTTGATATGAGAGGCAGTGATATTGTATGTTTTCTGCAGTGGGGAGAGCATAAGAAGGCCGTCTTATGTAAATATGAACTTGCTTCTGCTTGTTTGAATTCCTTTCTTGCTTAGTTTTTGTCAAAGCTCTTCATCACTGGTTTATATTAATTGCCTTCACTGAATTCAAGCAAACAGTTAGATTGTCACAACTTGATTTCTTTTAACTGCTTATCTTATATCTGGTGCATCGATGGAACAACAAGTTTTGGAAACATCAATAAGCTATGACATTTCTCCTTGGAAATGAACAGTTGAAATTAATCGAAAGAAGTCTAGAGATCGGTCGTTGTTCTTGGTCTGAAGCCCTTTTCTGAGTTCAACATTTACAGTTAATGTTCAATGGACATTTAAAATAAGACTACCAACATGGTGGAAAATGGCTCATGTTGTTCTCTATATCTAGGTTTTAGCTATTTTTAAAGATGCAAGACATGTAAGTGTTCTATATTAGAATGAAGGTAGACTAAATTTTTTTAATGAATCCCCGTATTTGAGTAATTCATGTAAACTTTCGACTAACCTCAACTTGGCACTAGATGTAGTATATCTTTGCATATTTGCTTTATATTGAAGCTGTTGCAAAGCAGAATGTCCTTGTTTAAGGGCAGCTTTGTTTATTGATTGGATTTTATGGAGTTGATTCTGCTGTATCACGTCTTGGGGATTTTCGATACGCTAAAGGTGCTTTTTTATCCTCCCTTGCAGGGGAGGGATGCGATTTAAGAAGTGCGGAGGGGAAAGGGGGATTTGAGCCCACGACCTCTAATCATTAGGGCCTCAACCTCAGCCACTAGAACAGGGCCTCCTCTAATTCTAAAGGTGCTTCTGGAATGTTGCCTCTGATGATGTTGTTTATATTCTCAGTGGACTAGGTTTGAAGACAAATGTCAATCTTGTGGTGGTTATATTGGTTGGAAATTCATCTGCAAGCATTTATGTTGGCCTAAGCAATATACCTGCAAATGCCTTGAAGCTGTAAGGTTTTTCGGATGCCTTGAGTGGAGTGGTAACTCGTGTGTCCAAGCTGAAAGAGAATATCTTGGTTTTGGGAGGTTGGCTTTATTATCAGTTCCATGCAATTTAGTGGCGAAGGATTTATTGGTCCATGAAAATCTCAATGTATATATTTGTCATCACTGCGGTAAAATAGCAATAGTGAAGAAAACCTTTTATTTTTTTCTACCGTCTATGGCGCATATATAATTGGTTGGACTTGCTTTTGCAAACTATTTTCTGCAGAAAAGTTCGTTCAGTAATGCTCATGTAAAAAGCCTTTTCTTTTCAACATCCCTGAATGAGTACATTATTTTTGGAGCACCAATTTGTAAATTAACCAACATTCATGGTCAGAATGATTAATGCTATTAATTGAACTTAATGGAGTACATAATCTGCATTTCTGACTCTTCAGAAACACTGCAGTATGTTCAATAAATTGTTGTGTAAGAATTCCTTAGTTAGAACAGAATGATTTGATCTATGTCAATACTTTAGTTTGCTATGTTGCATTGGGAAGTGTAGATTTGTCTGATTGTGCTGTAGATATTACAGTGCTGTAGACACTCCAGTATGTCTTTAAATACTTTTGGATATAATTTGTCTGTTAACTTTCTGTTTTTATATCATAACATAACATACAATGAGATGTTAAAATTCAAATGTTTGATCTTGAATCTTGTGAAAGAGCTTGCTCAAGTGGTGTAGCACACTTTTTAAAACTTTAGCATCCTTCACCAGATCAAAGATATGTTTCTATCTAGTTGTTGGAGGATGGCCATTGATGGCTCTTATCCAAGTAGGAGAGTGCTTTAAACCTGTGTAGGCATTGAGTAGCTCATTCGGCTTAAGAATGTACAAATGATATATCAAGCTTCCTTGCCTGTACTTTGATTACGCCAGGTTGTTTTCTTATATCAGGATAGGCTCTGTCCTTTGATTTCTTTGAGTTTTTCTCTAAGCAGTTGTCTTGTCTTCAAGTGGTTTTATGGGTACTAAACTGGAGCTTGCTAAAGTTGCGTTTACTCTTTCTTGATTTTATCATAGATGCCCATTCATGTGATTCTTTTCAATAAAAAGGAGAAAAAGGTTGGAAAAACTTTTCTAAACAAAGAAATGGACAAATCTAAGTTAGCATTTCTGGGTTCAAAGGATCCTCTTTTTGGCCTACATATTTGTTTGGTAACCAAACTTCCCCTTGTATTGGGTAAGAGCTAAAAGGTGCAATTATCAAGTGATTCTTGGCATTGAAAACGTACCCACATAAATGACAAGTGGTGTTCAGTTGTCTTCAATGTTATTATCCTTTTGTCCAAGTAGCAAAATGTACATCCATGCTCCAGCAGATGTCCACCTTGAAAGCAAGATCAGATAAAATCCATTCCATTTTTGTAGGATGTAAAAGCCAATTCCAAAGGCCATGCATTCTTTTCCCCCAAAATTTTGTTTCTATAAGTGGAATAAATACTGTTGGCTGGACTACTTCATGTTCTATATCCTCAAAATATCTTTGCCTTGTTTTTTTATCCTCAAAATTTTTCATTCAATAAAATTTTTACTATTCTATTTTCCCTTCTTGAAGTTGGAATATTTACATGAAAAGAATTTATTCAATTAGATACTGTTCGTTATTACCTCACTTCATCTAGAACTTGACTTGGATAAGTATCTATTGTCGTATCGATGAATATTCTTCACTTCTTTATAAGGTGTAAAAGTATCCTCAAAACTGGATGACTTTGCAATCTTTTGGTGATGAGGTTTCGGATTAGTTCGTAGGGCGGCTTAGAGTTATATAACTGCATTTACTTCCCATCTATTTTTATGAACTAAAATTATCATTGTAATAACACAGAAATCCAATATAGAAAGGTAATTGATATGCTAAAACAAACATTGAAGATGAAGTATGTATAACGGTTGGAATAACTTCTTTAAATAATCATTGGGTTGGTTCAATAGTTAGGAGAGGGCTCTTAGAATCTTCTCTGCCGTCGAATTCAGAGTTTGAATTCTATACTTAACACAATGGGATGAGAAGGGTATAAGAAGGGGTGAGAGTGTAGGAAAAAAAAAAACTTCTTTTAAGTGCGCCGCCGCCGAAGTGATATTTTTCAGAGTAAATTGCCTATTATTTGCTTCTTTGATTAATTCAGTTGACTTTAATACTTGAACATACTTTTGGAAGACTGTCCAACTCTTTCTGTTAAAAAGCTCCATTTACTGTATTAAAATCTTCTAGTGTTGTTAAATCTTGGGATCCAGTGTGTGCTGTATGTGATTAACAACCCTCACTGTTCAATCATTACCTTTAATTAAATTATGCCCAGATAGTGACAATTGATGTTAGCTAACCTTGTTTTGCTTTTCTGATGGATTGTGTTTCACCATTTTTGGTGAAAGCTGGAAGAACAAGATCAATGAAATGTTTGTTTGGTTAAAATTATCAAGTAGCACATTACTTAGATCCTCTGCTGTTTTGCACCAATACGAATATTATATATCCTAGGCTTAAGAGTGTCTGAATCTGATAAAAAATCTTGTCCGGTATAGTATAAAAAAAAAAAAAACACTTGAGTTACTCAAGCCAATAAATTAATTCATAAAACTCAATATTATGTTGATTATGAATGAACTTTTTAGGAATAACAAAGAAACAAATAAAAAAATAGAATATAATTACTTGAAAACTAAAAGATGACGATTACCGTAATATTATTTCGATGATACTTCAAGGATTTTTTTTTTTAATATATTTGGTTAGACCAAAAATCCTTAAGTTGATGTGCCATGTCACATTTAAATTTGATTTGGGGGTGGGGGAAAAGAGAATTAATTATTACTACATGGTTATTTACATTCAATTGTAAAATGTGATTGCTTATATTTCTTGAGGATGCGTTTCATTTATTTTATTTTAATTTATTTTATTTGTTTGGGCGTGGAGTATCGACTAATAGTTTTTCGACAGCTATCACAGTAGTGTGACGTCAGCATGATTAGAGATGGCTTAAAAGTTCATTCTTTTTAACTAATCATGCTTTTTAACAACTTTTTCCATCAGTAATCAACCGGTAAGATGCTAATAATGACGATCCTTGGTCACCTACTTGTCCCCCATGAGAACAGCCACCAAATGGAACAGTTGAATGCTTTTTGTGCGTGGAAAATTAATACAGGATTTTTTTGTAGTTCGTCTAGCTTTAATTCCTGGATTTATAAATTTATTGGGCTATTATTTTTTTTTAAATATAACACCATGGTTTAGTATTTTTTCCCTGACTCAATATAGGTGATTGACATCCTAAGATATTGACCAGGAATATCAAAGCAGAACATGTATCTTTTTTTAAATTTTTTTTGGGAATAATTGCATCCAGATTTTTTTTTGAAAAAAAGAAAGAAGTAAATACAGGTTGCATCAGGAAAAATGACTACAAATCCAGCTTGCATTTTTGTTTTTTACTTTTAATGTAGACTATCAAATTTGTATGTCTTCCTTCTAAAATATTTTGTTGACACATTTTTTTAATAACCTTTGTTTTTCACATACATCACGTAACTATAAAATATCCTCGTTTTCAGCAAAAAGCTTTCAAAAACTCCAATTTAAACGGACTTGAGATTGAATGGAAAGGGCTTAGACTTGTTCAAGAGGGCCAATGGCGAACAAACTGCTCTCTTACATTTCATAATTGTCGTTGCATCCTAAGATTGAATGTCTAATATATTGCTTTACTTTTTCTTCTTCTTCTTCTTTTCTGGTGTTCTTTTTTTATTTTTTTGGGGTCAATTTCATGAGAGGGGATGAAGGAGGAAGAATCCCAAAGGAAATTTGGGAGCAGCGAAAAATGAGTCCCTTTTCAAGGATGTGGTAGAAAGACATTTGATCATCAAGATATATATCTCCAATTTACTATATGGTCACCCCTCTTTAGATATAGGTCTTTTGTTTTAGTTGACATAAACTTTGAGAGCCAAGAATTCCTTTATATTTTGCTATAGAAGCTCCCACATATTTCTAGTTTTCTTTTTTATTATATGTGATTCAGTTCTTCGTCAAAATCCAGTTTTTTTTTTTTTGAGTAGCCATATTTACTCTTTCAAAATGTTACCAAAAGTTGTACATTGCAAAAAGTCCAAATATTATCAATTATATCTTTTACCATACAAATACCCTAGTTCTGCCTTTTTTTGTGATTTTTCTTAGTCTCAAAGATCTTAAACACTAACATCATTTTTAAAACTCCCAAAGCCATATATTTAATATAGTTCTATTTCCACAATTACCAAAAAAAAAAAGACTTAGAGATCCTGAGTTCAAATCCCCCTTCCTCCTCCCTACTTCTTAAATCCCACCCCTCCCCTATCAGAAAAAAATTTTAAAAAAAATTAAAGTCCAACAATTAACTTAATGAATGTAGAATTGTTGGTGATGATTCTTAAGGGCAAAATTAATCTGTAATCCCTAAATCTCCATGAATAAAAGAAGCAAATCCACTAGTAAAACTCTTAATTTGTTTTCTTCCTTTGAGGCCGTTGTGTACAAAATTGTACCATAACGCCTTTGAAGTTTGAATGGGATTCATCAATAATTTTGTACTGTACTATATAGTATGGAGCTTAGAACCAAACAAAAACCAAAGGCGTCTTTCAATCATTTAATGCGCCCTATTGAGACAGACAATGTCACGTTTGAAGAAAATAGTGCAGTGGCCGGGCATCAGGGAATGGGACTTCAATTGCTTTTTTACTATGTAGGGTATGGTGAAATCTTCAACAAATATTTTTTTTGGTACGGCTTATTAATCAAGTCATGTACACCATTTCAAGCAGGACGTGAATATAATTTCCACTTTTTTTTTTTTGTTTTTAAGAAAACTGATGATGCATAGACCTTAGAAATCTTTACTAGCTAGTACTTATATGATATAAGAAAACACATCTGAGATTGGATATTATTTAGTACATCTCCATCTAATATCACCCTTCAAAGAAATGCAACTAAAAGGTTAAGGATTTTATGTTCCTTATTTTAGAACCAGAAAGAATAATGGAATGCCAAATTGGTTCTCATAAGTACCTCTCTTCCTGATTTTTCTACTGAAAATATGCAACATGCAAATTTATCATATGGGGAAGGCTTGGTGTTGGTGTGAAAATATTTACCAATTGCATGTATTGCAGTTAAAACGTTTAAGAATCAGACCCTAAAGAAAGTATGTGAGATTTTGTGGAAAATTTTAAGGCCGATTTGGATTGAAGATTTTATGAATTTTTTTTTCAAAAAAATAATATAACTATAGCACT